ACAACTGGTTTCTTACTGTTTGAATATTATTTTTCATTTTAGACGTTAGAAGAAATTGATGCCCAGCAAAAGAAGCAAATAGAGGCACTTACAGCAGAACTTAAGTAAGTATAAGCTTAACCAAATCTAAGTGAAAGTGTGAAATACTGGAGACAAATTTGCGTCATAAGACTTTGGAACGTCTTCGGAAACTTTTGAAACGTCTTCGGAAGTGTTCGTGTGCCTTCGGATATGATTGGGTCCCATGATAAGTTCTTAAGCGTTTGAGGTTTTCTCTCACACGGATATCTCTTAATTTGTCACAAACATGATGCGATTTATAAGCTAGGCTTCAGTTTAATTTTCGGAAGAAATTAAATTAAATTCGTAGACTAGTAGTTCAAATTTGTTTTGTCTTTTAATTAATGCAAGATGTGGATTCCAAACGCTTTTTCGTTCATCCACAGAGAGGCAGAAACGGCGTTGACGAATCAAAAGACAAAAAATTTCCAACTCAACCAGACAATGGTGTATCAAGTGCAGTGAGTATTTAGCAAAGTTTTTGAATGACGAACCGTAACCTGGCCTAATTTTTCCTTTTTTAGGCGAACGGTGACGAGCGTTAGACGAGTGCGAAGCCTGAGTCACACGCGAGGATAGGAGCGCATGACTCGTCTTCACGCTGAATTACGCACGCAGTTTCATTCTTTCTTATGATCTATTGGATGACAAACGCATAGATGACGTCACCGTTAACCACCTTTTTTTTCTACTTTATTATATACCACTTACAAATTTTATGTTGCTGTGGTCTGTCCAGAGATAGATCACAGACGTCAAAATATGGTAAGAACATCTGTGACATACAACAACGCCTCGTATGCCAATTTTTGGTTCTTAACAAACATGACGTCATCTGTGATTTATTACGGAATATACGCACAGCAACATGGGATCTATTTGTTAAACAATACAAAGCGCAAACTCTTGTCATATAAATTTATTTCAATTAAGTATTATGGGGGAATAAAAAACATGGAACTCGATTGAAGTTTGGTCGATTGAAATCTAACATCGTCAAATATTCAAAGATCTTTTTATTATCACTTTAGTTGTATTTTCTGTTTATTAGGGTCAAGGGTGGAATGCATACCTATTTAGAAAAGTACATATTGAATTGATATATTCTCTCTTACTATATAGGAAAATACGGGATCACGACATCTTAAAAAAGGAGTTGAAAAAAGAGGTAGGAGTATCTAGTTTAAGCTCTTGGACTTTCTTCGATGGAGTTTCGTGAAACTGCAACCAGAGTAAATTAACGCGGCCAATCAAAGCAAAGCTGATTATCACGACGAGCCCATATGAGCTCTTTGAAGCGCGGGAAAACGCAAGTGAATGCGTCGAGTTTTTTTGAAACCTTGCAGCTGATTGGTTGAGGGAGTGCATGCCGTGATTTTTCTGGGCTAGTCGCACACGGTTGAAACAGTACATACTATATCCCAAATGACTCTGGACACTTATTTGAAATTACTCTATTGAAGCGCAATTTGGATTACAGCTGGGAAACTAAACAGGGATCGCCATAGTTGCTCTGTCTTTAAGAAAGATAGCCTAACAAGTGCTGCTCTCTTCTCTCGCAGTTGAAAGAAAAGAAGGTTTCCGAAAAGGCGATGTCCGAAAAGTGAGATAAGTTTTCGTTTATTCATAGTCATTTGTATTCTTAACTACACTGATTTGTCCATGGTATGAAAACTCGTTTTTCTTACGATTATTTACTACGTCCGGAATTATGTGAAGAGAAACCCAAACTTAAAAACCATCAGCCATTATTTATCGGTGATCGTTGGTGAGATGTGATTTTTCAGTTTAGAATAGATGTAAAAAAAGAGACCTTTCTAACTTTCACTCAACGGAGATGTACAGTCTAAGAGAAATTTAGCCATACTAATTATTAATTATAGCGGGAGGAGGGAGGAGGGGGGAGGGTGAGGGGGGAGGCGTTGGGGTTTGGAGGATATTGGAGGATCGCATGGTTTTCACGGGGAACAGAGGGGGAATCAGTCGTCGCCAACGAGTATGAAAAGGCAGTCTACATAAAATTGACTGCTCTTAGTCTACAACACTTATTTTTATCTCGTCTGCTTAACACTCAAATTACAGTCTAAATATCCGCAATTTACATTGGATCTGAAATATTTATCTTTTAAAGGTTGGAGAAAGAAGAAGAGAATCTGCATAATCTAAGTATGAAGTTTAAGGCTGCCCAAAAAGAGGGCTGCAAAGTTAACCTTATTTTACAGGTATGTAGTGGAATGTAAGTGTTATATTTTTTGACTTCAGTTGTAAATGTTAGATTATTTAAGCCCAGATCTCCCCCACAGAACTTGGTTGATAGAATTAGGGGACTAGTGCAGAGTAAATTTGGTACGCATGTGTCGTTCTCCCTATTTTCCCGCACTTTTGTAACAATATTGAAAAATGAGGGAACTGAGGTCAGGACAGAGATAAACCAATCACAAGCAACCTTGAAAAAGAAGCGTATTGAGAGCACAAGCTGGAAACAAGTAGAAATTTGAGTTATCGAACGAATAAAAGATATGTATGTAATTACAATTCCTGCTGCAAGTGTAAGAGCGTTATAATTTATTAAGATAATTCTGGTTTTTTCAACTGAGTTGATTACGTAAATTGGCCACCTAAAGAGTTTCAAAGCTGACGTTTCGAGCTCTGACGAATAACGCTCGAAATCAGTTTACATTATCAACTGAGTAGATAAAACCAAAATTATTTTGTCATACACTCTCACCGACGCAGCACAGTTTCTTAAGAGACTTTACCCCTTTATTCATTATAATTTATTGTTCTATTTATTTAGCAAGAGAGAAGGAACTACGATCGGTAAGTGTAATTTCACATAGATGCTTGATATGTTAGTTTAAAACTTTCACAAACAAAGCTGGCTTATGGTTGTTGACTATTGACCCACCTCAATTGCGTTGACCTGAAAGGAACAACCGATCCAGTTTCTTTATGCGAGAGGTTTCAGAAGTAACCATAAAATGTGTTATTCTAACCTAAACTTTGAAGTCAGCCCGACCATTTGTTCCAGTGACTATCAATCACCTCCTCCCCCCTTCCCAAAAATTTTTGTCTTCAAATCTCTTGAGCTACATTTATACCCAAGGATACCACCCTTAAGCAAATGTTGTTCCATGGAAAAATTCTCGCTTGAGTTGACACTTGCCATGCGCAATTTAAACTATCCGATGGAAAGAGCCCAGGGCATAGCAAACAATATCGCCATTGGATGTCCGTCTAAAAATACCCTTTCCCTAGTCTTAATCTGATTTATTTAACCTGTTTTTTGTCTTTGATCTCTCGTATTAATTAGAAAAGAAGCCGAGCTCGAGGAGGAAATCACCAGGCTGAACAACGAAGGCGCTGGGATGCAATCTAGTCTTACAGGTCTCACCACTGAGATAACCGAACAGAAGACTGAGATAGAAAAACTGCGGACTGGAAAGGAGAGGCTTGGGGATAAGTTCTTCCAACAAGAGATGACCATATCTAAACTGGAAATTAGGCTTGGCACGGTCAGTGGATTGAGTTTAATAAGGAACTAGTTAGTCATTATTTATCCCCGGTAGTGCGGGGTTGCGACTTTGAAGGGGATCGCAGGGTTCTCGTGGGGAACGGTGGGGGGTCACTCGTCGCTAATAGAGTATAACGGGGGTGCTATGGAAAATTGACTGTCAATAAGGGATCATGAGAATTCTGCATAACCTTAGGGGGAGATTAGGTAAATTTTATCTTCACACAGCAAATTCCTCCTCCTCATTTTTTTTGTTTTATTTTTCAGACGGACACTCGCATTGGATACATGCAACTGTAAGTAAATTTTAGTTACATCCTAAAAAAACACATGGGAAATTTAACCGATAGATTAAACATGTTACAACAATTTTTGGCCGCTATTCCGCTTTCTCTCTTTCTATTTTAAGCAGAATGAAAGTAGTTCGTGAAATTTAGCCCGAAGGACTGACATCGGCAAATTACGTCAATGACAGATTTATTGCATTTCGCGTAAATTTATGTGCGAGAGGGTTGGATTTTTAATTTGACTGACTGGTTGACTTGGTCACCTTGTTCACTAATTTCTCGTTTTGTTTTCCTCAGACGTTATAAAGCAGATGAGGTAAAGAATACCTCGCTGAGATTTCAGGTGAGTTTTAATTAAGCCAAATTTCATTAATAACGATACCAAAAAAAAAAAGAAGAAGAAAGGAACAACAACAAAAAAATTAAAAGCAACAATAACAAATAATATCAACAACAATGACGACAAATTTCAGACGTTGCATCAGAATGATGGTAGGTTTTCAGCTAGGTAGACAAAGTGAGAAAGCCGATAGTTTTTCATTTGCAATCGTGACAAGATAATGAAAAATCTCTCAAAGTTCAGACTTGTAGATAGAAATTGTTTTTTAGATAAACAAATTTTGATTTAGAACTTATTGGGGAAGTTCTTCGGTCAATTTTTCTTTGCTCTGCGGAGGCATCGAATTGATCTTCTTTCAGCCATTTGTTCAGCAACGTCACTGACATTTAAATTTATTGCCAGGCTTACGTTCTTTTATGGTGATGTGAACTGCGTAACGGAAATGAAATCTGATAAGCACAAGGATGGCTACTCCAAAACTTTCAGATTAAAAGTTTGCCAGTGTTCTATAAATTAAACATTCTTTTCCTTTATAAATTGTAGATCGATGAATACAAGAAGGCCATATCAGAGAGTAAGAAGGAGTAAGTAAAAATATCTGTAAAAAAGATTTTTGTCAGTCACGGTCGTAATTCGTGACTTATAGTAGCGGGGGCGGAGAATTTTTAAGGGAGGTTGTGGTTTTCAGGGGGAACGTAAGGAGGATCGGTCGTCGCCAACATATTATTAAGTGGGGATTATGCAAAACTTCCAATGAG